AAATAAAGAACTTAGGTTTCAGGCATCTATGCCTTTCAGGGTCATTGTTCACTGCACAATCACTCTGGTCCAGGCAAAAAAAAAAAAATGATATTCAGGTGTATGTTTCAACTGGGCTATTTTTTTCCCCATGCTTCTGAGGATAAAACACACCCATATTTACATAGGACTGGCTGTTTGATGATAAATTCCACTGAGCTTCACTAGAAGGTAGGTGTTAAAAATTCGGCATTTGTGTGATTCCAAGACTACAAATGTGTCACTGAGTGCTGCATGTGTGTGAAAAAAACACCGGCTCTGACTTTCACGGCGTTCACAGGTCACACAGAGAGTGTGAGGGCGGCCTCCTGAGATCTGGGGGATTGCCCATTGTCGTTGTAACCTCAGGTCAGAGTCCCCCGCTCGCAGTCTCTGCCGATTCTCCTCACAACACCGGAGACATTTGATCTCGCGCTGCAACAGTAAACCATTCTGACACTGTCAGGCTCAAACACATTGTCTGGACAGATACAACTAAAGCCTGCTGGAAAAGAGCGTCAGTCACAGTTTTGTCTGGCTGTTTCCTCTTAGGTGTGAGCTGACTAATGTTTAGCCCTGCAGGGCAAGCGGAGAGTGAAACTGGCAAACGAAGTGTCCAAACCGCTGATGAAACATGAAGCAGTCTCTGACACATAGAAGGGCTTGTGTGTAATGGTTTCTATAGTTGAAGTGTTGGGGGGGGGGGCTCCTCCAGACCACACTACAATCTCAAGCGCACCTGATATTATATCAAAAACAGCTGCTTTAATGGATGGAAAGAAGCTGCGTGGATGCCACTCACTGTGATCCTTTTCATCTCTGCTGATAAAAATTTGAATGGCTCTGACGACCTTGGGACGACGCTACAGCAGAGGACACTCGGCATATGGCATTATTTGCAATGCAATGAGTACTGCAGGTACAGGGGAACTAGGAGCATTCTTAAAAAAAATCTTTTTTTAACATCCCTGTCTCCTCCCTTACAGGGCTTTGCAAAAGTATTATTATCCCTTCAATTTTTCACAAAAGCCGGAAAAGTTTTTCTTTTACATTAACGGTTTGGAACAGTGAAATAAAAGATAAACGATACATATATTTCTATATTTTCAACAAATAAAAACCTAAAAATCATACTGGTTATTTGTATTTAATCCGTTTTTCTTTTTTACTGATTTTGAACCTTACTTTTCTGTGCAGGTTTGTTAGAGAACATTAATGAAAATAGAGCAAAATAAACAGCAATGGGTAACAGCAGACATGTCAGATATAAAGCCGGGGAGACATTAAAGCTGTATTGGTTTATATTTAAGCAAGCTTTCTGAAGCAGCTCAACCCATATAGAGATGCAAAGAGAACAAACCAAAAAAAAATGCAAATAAAATCAACTAAAATCCAGGCCAGCTAAGAGCAGTAACCGTCAGAAGCAGCTAGAAACAGTTAACCACAGGCCATGTAGGGAGAAAAAAAAAAACGTGGAAGATGGCATACTAATCAACAAACTACTGTCCATGTCACCCTAAAGGAACCACCTCCCCCATGAAACATGTTGGTGGTAGCATCATGGTGTGAGGTAGTTAAGGACCTTAGACCAGATCTGAGGTTTATCTACCAGCAGGACAACGAACCTAAACGTACAAGAAGAGGCAAATGGTTTAGATCAAAACACATTCAAGAGTTAGAATGGCTGTAATTCCACACCAAAATCCAATAGATAACCTGCAGCGAGTCTGGCACTATTCACTGAGAGTCAGATGTTGTACTATTTGGTAAAGAAGGTGATAAAATGAAAACCTTCAGATAGGCAAAGCTTATAGTGAGATACCCTGCAACCACAGCAAAAGGTGACTCGGTGGAGGTGAATACAAATGAACGTAACACTCTTTAGTTTTTCATTTATAGTACATTTTGACAATCATTATATTATCTAACCTTTCATGTCAAAACGATGCACTACTATCAGGGGCGTACCTATTGACTGGCATCGACTTCCTTCATTTTGGAAAATCGGTTATTAGGGATGTGGGAAAAAATCAATTTGGTGAGATGTTTGACGATATAATATTGATCTTTCCATTCTTAGTATTGATTTGAAAAAAATATATATATTTTTTAACTACTGTAAAACCATGAGGAGAAATGGGCAACCTCTGCTAACCTAGCTAAATAATCAATAACTTCTAATGTACGTATAGACGAGCTGCTTTATCTATACATTTTATTTTGATAGCTGAAAACAAAATCGCAACATATATAGTGATATTGTAATATCGTGATAATATCGTATTGTTACCCAAGTATTGTGACATGTATCGTATCGAGACACCTATGCCAATACTCACTCCTATTGGTTATTCGGCGATATTTAGTAGGGATGCACGATATAATCGGCCCCCTATCGGTATCGGCCTGTATCGGCCTTAAAACTGAATATCGGACAACGGCCACCCCACTGATATTTAACCCGATATTTGATCAGCTTCTGAGTTTCTAAAGTCTAAAAAAAAAAAAAAAAAATACTTCTTCTTCTTCCTCAAAAACTTCTTTTTTACAGACTTAAAAACTTCTAAAGACGAGGGGAAAAAATATTGATACATTAAAATATCACAATATCTTCATAAGCTGATATATTGCCATTTAAAAACACCATATCAATCTCTTTTACTAATGAAATATTGCTATATGTCATCGTTATGCTACGAAATCCCCCGAAAATTCACAAAATTTTGCCATATTTTTATATGTTGATATATTGACGCGGTATCGATCTATTTTACTAACAAAATCTCACAAGAATTTGCAAAATATCACGAGAGTTTGTAACAGAACGATGAAATTTAACGAGATTTTAAAAGTAAAATTGATCAATACCGCGTTTTTAAAAATAAATTTGATATCAGCATATGAAAATATATTTGAGTATATTATTTTTCAAAGTGTCAGAAATGGATAACAAAACTGCTATTTTCAATGACTACTTATTTTTGTCCAGCTTTAACATCGGTATCGATATCGGTTATCGGCTACATGAGTTTTAAAATATCGGCCTAGCGTATATCGGCCAAAATCCCAATATCGTGCATCCCTAATATTTAGTTTTTCTGCAAAAAGTCTGAAAGTACTAAACTTTGTATTTATTTATTTATACTAGAGATCAATACCTATCAGGCTGATCAGTAGAGCAGTGGATAGTATTACAGCAAGAACGTCCTGGGTTCGGTTCTCAGCCCAGGGACTTTCTGCATGGAGTTTGCATGTTCTCCCTGAGCATGCGTGGGTTCTCTCCGGGTACTCTGGCTTCCTCCCACAGTTCAAAAGCATGACTGTTAGCTTAATTTGCTTCTCTAAAAAAATCTCCTTAGGTGTAAATACGTGTGTGAATGGCTTTTTGTCCTGTTTTTCTCTGTGTTTCCCTATGATGGACAGATGATCTGTCCAGGATGTACCTCGCCTCTTGCCCATAGACACCAGCAACCCTCACGGCCCCAACTGGGATGATGCATGACAGAAAATGGATGGATGGAAGGATCACTACTATCTGTTGGGCAGTTAATTACGTTTTTATTCTTAAACGGGGAGGATTCAGTGTTTTTCAGTAAGGTGAGATTAAAATATTGAAGTTGTCTCATGGTCCTGTATCACTGTCCGTTTAAAAAGAAAAATCTGTATTGTTCAAAACTGGAATTGGCATGTTCTGCTTTCTGCCAGAAATGTGCAATAGCAGATGCACCCCGAACTACTATGTGTTGGTCGAACACATAAAATACCCATAAATACATTCAAGTCTGTAGTTTTAACATGAAATGTAAACATGGTATGAATTGTACTGCATTTATTTCCACTGATAGCTGCATTTCTGCTGCAGTCAAGAGTTGATCCTGATCTTTAGCTACATGCTTCTTCCTCTTTCTTTTCTGTCTGGGAAATGCTTGCCGACACGACAAGTCTCAGGGTCAAATCTTAAATCCCAAAACAATTTTAATTTCAGGGCAGAATATATTAGACCAACATCACTGACACGCCTCACATGCTGCCATCTGCCCCCAGTGGGAGGGGAAATATGAGGATCCGAGGCAGACAGAGGCAAAACCCACACCAGACAAAAACACACAAAGGATGAAAACAACAAAACAAGGAGACACCCTATTATGTTTTCATTCACCTATGCTGTTACCGACTTTAATTTAGGTGCACATGTCTGAGATAATGACTATAACAGAAATATATATACAGCAGTATGAAAGACGGTTAAATGAATGCAGTTGAGCCCCCTGTCTCTGGAGTCAGTGAGGTTCCTCAGTTATCTCTAATTATTCTCATGCTTTTTTGTCCATTTCACACCTATGCAGCAAATGAATTGGGCTTTTCAAAGGGGACACTTGCTACTTTTTAGTGACCCAGTTGGGACAGTCCAGGATTTGGGGTGCCCCAGTCGTCTTGTCGGCTTTGGAAACGCGACGGGAGGCTGCGATACCCCTCTTTTGTCTTTTGGGCTCTGGCAGACAATGATGGGATTATAGGGCTCCAGCAAGGAAAACTCCCATTATTCCAAATGCTTCATCCATCCTCCTTCCAACACAACAAGCTCTTCTTACTGGGTCACCCTTCAGCATACTCATATAACTCTGTCAGCTTAAAAGCAAGCCCCCACCTACACTTCTAATCCCCCTATGAGCAGCGTTCCTGGTATCCCCCTTCCTGCTTTCTCATTACAACCCACCCCCTCTTAAACTGTCGCTCATTCTCACCCTTCCCCTATAAGCTGCTGTAAAAGTGCATACTGAAAACACAGACTAGAGCAACACCTGTAATTACAGGGACAGTGGGAAGATTATCTATTCGGGGTAGGGTTTCAACCCAACTTCTCCTCCCTAAGTCTTTATTAATAGCAGTGTAACCTTCTTTTGGCTTCCTTTGTTCTTGCAAGATAAGAAAAAAGGGTTTGTTTTTATGTGTTACTCTCTCAAAGGAGCTGCTTTTCTTACCTTTATAGTTAGGATGAACACGCGGAGCGTACACTCCGAACTTAATGAGGACAGGGACGTTGTAGCCAAGGCGGACCCACTCCACAACATGTAAAGGGAAAAGGTTTGGGGTGGTGGCTTCCTTGAATGATGGAGTCAGGCTGCAGTCTAGCTCTGCAGAGCCACCCTCTCTGGCACGGACCAGCGATGCCAAACTCTGAGACACACCTGGAAACACAATAATATATCATCAGCGCAAAGTCCTGGGTGGGTCTGTGCAGACAGCAAAAGGGGCAATAAACAGGGAACGGACAAATTACAGACGCTCAGCTGGATGAAAATAGGCTCCCAAACTTTCAGCTGTAGGGAAATTTTCTAATTTGGCAAAAAACTTATAGTCAGTGTGGAAATGGGCTGCAAAATATATTGCAAATCATTTAATAAATATATGCAACCTCAACAGGTAAACAATAATAACCAATTATTTACAATAAGGAGCACACATCCAAGCTTCCTATGTGAATAGTATAGTTTGTAATGTTTGCTTTGAAAAGCAGCAGAGAATCAAGATGTTCAGGTAAATCCAATAAGTTGTTGCCTTTCCAAAACAGCAGAAGTAGCCAAAGGCAACATTTTTATTCCAGCGTCTAATCAAAATGACAACTAAAACTTATGTAAAATTTAATTTATTCTATATTTTGTCCATGTATTGAAATCTAAATATGTTAAAATAAAATGATTACATTTTTCCCTCTGATACAATTAATCTGATTCAATATATGCAGCCAAACCTTAAAGGTCAATAATTTATTTAGTAAAAGGAAAAAGTACCTACGCTGTGATGCATAAAGTGTCATTAAAAACCAGCAACCATTATCCACAAAAAAAAAAAAAAGCGAACTGTATTCTTTATTGTGATTATCTTATCATTTGCTTCAATAAAAACAATTTGAAAAAATCTGATTCAATATATGCAGCCAAACCTTAAAGGTCAATAAACCTCATCAACTAACAGCATTGACTTTTAATTAGTGAAAGCAAAAAGTACGTACGCTGTGATGCATAAAGTGTCATTTAAAAACCAGCAACCATTAACCACAAAAAAAGCAAACTGTATTCCTTATTGTGATTATCTTATCATTTGTTTCAATAAAAACAAATTTGAAAAAAAAAATTTAGAATTTAGAATTAGATTAGATCTTTAAAAAAAAATAAAAAATCTGTATGAGCAGGATGTTGGGCTTTGATCTATTATTAAATTATAATATTATGGCCATATGATGTGTAGTTACATGTTAATTAGGATCTTAGCATCAGTAGGAGTCATTGCTGCTTTACTGCTCTAAATATAAGCAATCATGTCACGCATTAATAAATAATTTTTTTGTTATTTCAGAGTAGATACCGTAGTATTTTCACTCCCTGACATGAGAATCTCTTACGAACCCTTTCCTTCAGTAAAAGGCGGGAAGAGGTCGACACACAGGTTCTAAAAAGCAATGCAATGACTGATCTTTGGAGAAACTGGTCACAGATCAGCTACTGAATTTGACTTTCCCAGACTGTTAAAAGCCTGGGCGTCAGAGGGCATTCTCAACAACCATGCGGGCATTTGGTAAAAAGATTGCATAGCTGCAATCCCATTAGTGGCACCTGGAGCAAGAAGCAGTCCCTACCTCCTTTATCTCCCTCGCTGTCATGTGCTAACATGGGTGTGTGCTCAACTGGGTGCCTGTGTTTGCTCCACTACTCATCTGGCCTGGTGATTACTTTAATCTCAGAGGAGGAGGGGTGAAGCTCTGATGCAGCAGGACCCTCTGTGTTTGGTCCAGCCAACCTCTCGCCACCCCCTGGGGTATACGCACGGTCTGTGGACCAGCATGATCAATCCCACCACCACCCCCCCTTCTGCAAACACAAGTACGCACACACAGAAGCGTGCCTGGGGTTGGGGGTCTGAGGGGGGGAGCATAAATCCCGGATTGATCTAAATCCGCACCCAGAGATATGTTGTTAAAGTTGGATTTTGCTCCCATTCTCTCCTGTCCGCTCATGTCTGACCTGCAACCCCTCCTCTTTACTCTCTCTCTCTCGACATGAAACAGGGGGAGCTTTGCAGATAAACGATGTTGGACATGCAGACCGTCTGCATCCAGCTGATCAACAACATCCTCTGCTGCTTCTTAAAGCTTCAACAGATGCTTGTTGATCCTTAGAGACGATGTTGGTAAGGGATGCTTTCTGGTAGGAAGGTATATCGAGGATAGGGATCCAAAATAGTCAGAAACAATAAAATTTCAATGTTAATATTCCAAGTTTACTTTTATATTTTAGTTTTCTTACTTTTCTCATTTTTTCCATTATCTAGCTGTCTGCACCTCTGCCTTTAAGCTTTAGCATCTGAGTCACTAACTATTGTAAAAGTCCCATCCAACCTGCCAAAAAACCTTTATTGTCAATCAGACTTGTAATGCTAGGTACTAAAAATATTGTTTCTGCCTGATTTATACATCCAAGCATTAATTTGATAATATTGGACCAATTAAAAGTGAAATGACTGTTTTGAATCTAAACACTGTGGAAATCTAACCCAGGTAATAAAGAGCTATGCCTTCAAAATGTTTCCATTTTTAGTTCCAAAGAGCTGAAATTATTTATTTTCTTCAACTTTATGAAGCTTAAAGTAATGCAGATTTGCCCTTCCTCACCTGTTACTGCACACTGCTGCTCAGCTGGCTAAAAGAACACAGTTGGTAAGAGTCGTGATTTGGTTTATAAAGGAGCACCACCTCTCACTCCTGTGTAGGTGTTTGAGACACCGTTTTAACATAGCCTTTTACCAGCTGCAGGCTGCATGTTGGGAAGCCGACTGCAGGCAGCAGATAGCCTAACTAATTACCCCGTTATACGAGCTTTGGTCTACTAATGTAACTATCAGCAAAAAAATCTTCTACCAAATTCTGTGATTTTTTATTCTACACCAGTGAGATGGTTTGTGTTTCACAATCAGAATAAGAATTAATGAATGTTAAATAGATGCTCAAAATGTGCTGCATTATTTTTAGCAAGATTATGACATTTTCTTGCTTCATTGTTTGTTATCCCAGCATTTCAATAATGTTCTGCATTGCCTTTTAAATTTTTATAGTAAATATTGTGAAACAGTAAAACAGTAGTATTTTTAGGTTAATGTTCTTACATTAAATCATATTAAAGACTCCATTTGTGAGTCTTGCGAGATGCTAACCTACTTATGTCATGCAGAAAGGCTGCACAATATCAAGAAAACTTTGAATTTTCGGACAATAATATGGCTAAGTAACAATGGTGATAAATATATCAGTTTTTATAAACCCATGTTTTCCAAGTGCATATTTTTTTGTTTGAATTCAATGTCTTGACCACCCACCATTAACTGACATTAAGGTCACCTAGCAACCATCCAAATGGTGAAAGACTACTGCACCCTAAACGCACTAGGAAACGTTATCACAGATCCTTCCTCCCAGCAGCTGTGACTTTATAAAACTGTCCCCAAAAACCTCAATAAGTTGCCACATTCATGCTGATTTTTGCAGTTTCTAACTTAGTCAGTTAAATAACATGCGGCTGTCATTTTTTGCACATCTCTGGTGTTGCTGCTATTTTTTACCTATCCATTACTGTAAAATGTCCACAACTGTTTATTGATTATTTATCCTCCAGATACAGAGTATTTATATTGTAAAAAAAAAAAAAAACTGTACAGTACAGCATGTTATTTGTTTTTTTTTCTTTACTCTGTCAGTTATTTTTAGGAGGTGACAGAAATAAGAATAAATTCTGTTATTTTAAGCACTTTCTAAGGTCCACATTGTGTGACCACTTCTGCTATAAACTTTTGCTGCTGCTGTAACACCACAATTTCCCCATTGTTGGACAGTAAAGGGATATTCTATTCTATTCTTTTCTATTCTAAATATATAATATAAAGCATTAATTCCCAGCAAGTCCTTCTCTATACTGTTCTTCACTAGATCCAAGTAATCCTATTTGATTTCAATATTGGTCATAGATGTTTTTTTTTTTTTGTGGCAAGGTTTGAGGAAAATTGTGATCTAGCTGTGTCATGTAACACAAAGTGTTCCAGCTGTAAATATTTTCTTTGAATATCTCAACTGTGGGACTTTACTTTACACAAATACATGTAATTATCTGATTTCTGCAAAGGAAAGTAAACTGTGGGGGTAATTAGAAATATTCAACGCAATCAAAAAATACAAAACATGGAAACGCATCAATAAGAAATGCGGCCAATCGATATTTGCATTAGCATACTTACTTAGCAGACAGATGGCTACAGCAGTGGTGACAGCCTGAAGCCACCGTCTCTCCAGTCCCATGGCCGTCCGTCACTCTCCTCCACGCATCCCTAGGTCTGAAAAACAAAACCGTACATCCTGTTTAGCCTTCATCACTTTGACTTTAGTAGCTGTGACCGAATCCCCACTGCATGGTGGTTACACATCCCCCTCTTTATATAAATGTAATCCCTACAGTTAATGTCTGTACATTATCCAAGCAAAAACACTATATTCCAAATGTGCTTAGGTTGGTGAATAAATGCCTTTTTAAAAAACATAATCTGAGTTGTTTTTTCTTGGATTAAGGCAAAGCGAAATCTGATGCTTCTCAGAACCATTAGTATGCGCCTGGAGTTAGGTGTCGTTAGCCACAAGGAAGGCCTCTTTAAGGGTCTAGGTGTTTGTACAGATTAACCTGTTGTTTGGGATTGGTCCAGCTCATCCATAAGGTCTTGTCTGATTCTGAATAGACAAACAGCAGTTGGTGGGTGACAGGGACAACACTGAAAGGTAGACCTACAGTACCAACTCCAGATGTTAGGCAGCACAAGCAGTTTTGCTTACACTTAGACTAAGACTTTATAGATCACAGCACTTGTTGAATAAAACAGCAGCATCTGGTAAGATTCAGTTGACGGTTTAATGGACAAATGACTCAACAAGAAGATCTCCAGATTTTTATCACCTAGTGAACCCAGCACACGACTCCACTTAAAAAAGAAAATAACAAAAAAGTGTTGAGCTACTCTAAAGTCTGAACAGCTGTAGCTCCTGTGGAGGTCCTCCACTTTAAATTGGATTGGAGGGAAGTTAATGTTGTTGCCCTCCAAACATAATGGAAGCTCACTCAGGCTCCCCTTAATTTACTCCCCTCAGTACCCTATAAGCTTTACTTCTTAAAGTTCATTTGAGTAACTTCAGAAGCCCCGCACAAACACAAACCGACTCCAAGATCTGCTGGGGACATTTAATCGCTTAGCGACACTTAAGCAAACAAACAGCCCAGAATAGCGGAGCAGAAGGATGAACTAGTTTCCAAGCCCTGGACCAGTACAGCGGCTGTTAAGATCAAAATATTCTGATGCCTTTTTGTTGATTTCCAGACTAGAGTCAGTCAGGCATCACTGCAAAATGAGAAAGGCCAGGGTTTATTTCAGCAACCCTCTGTTTGCCCTTTGGGATGATGAAATAAGCAATGGATTCAGAAGATAAACAACAAATCTGTACAATCCAAATTGTTTATGTGTCACCTCCAGAGGGCAAAACTGATGGAAGTGATTGTATTTCGCTGCCTCATCTCTCTACCATCACCTTCTCATTTATATCCACACTATGCTATATAGAGTAGCTCCATTTAAAGTGTTTCTGAAATTTAATCTTAATACCAAACCTCCAGCAACATTTGACAATTTCAAACCATCTTTTTTTAAACTTAACCAATCAGCTTCCACTCCAGAATATACAGCGTGGCAGTCTGCAGCAGCCAGCCCGACAGGGACAGACTAAAAGGGGGAGGGCTCTGTCTCCAGGTGCAGTATTAGACAGAGACAAGCAGGTTATTTCCTCACGCAGCAGAGCAGAGCTATTTAATTGGCATGTGCACTCTGAGGGCTTCCAAAGGAGGCTAGATATTAAATTCAGAGTGAATGCATCAAATGACACAAAGCAACGCTGCCTCCCAAAAGAATTCAACATACAACAATAAGATGGAAGATAAATGATGCATGGTTTTAAAAGTTAAAAAAAGAAGATCTAAAAATTGAGCCATGCATTAATATTTAGCCACAGTAAGTCGATGTTTTGAAGAGAGTCAGTTTTAGTGCAACTAAAGCTGTTACTTTTTGGGGAATTGTCTTTATCAGCTTTGCATGTTAAGAATACAGAGGTCCACCCCTCCCACCCACCCCAGCCCTTTTGTAATCAAAGTAACTAAAGCACATCTACACTTTGACTAATGAGGCACTGATATAAAAATCTGAGCTGATACATTGTCCTAAATTAATACTGTCTTTCAGGCTGATATTAAACATGACTTATCTGCTTTAATTAGACGGTGACCAGGGGTGTCAAACTGGTTCCAGAAAGGGCCGTCCGGCTGCAGGTTTTCTTTCCAACCAAGCAATAGGATACCAGACTCCAGTCATCTCATGTTAGGGAGTCCAATCTGAACATGATGACTTCATAATATGAATGGAGTCTGGTGTGCTATTGTTTAGCTGGAAAGAAAACCTGCAGCCAACCGACACTTTCTGGAACCAGTTTGACACCTGTGAGTTAGAGACTCACAATCCTGACCTGCATTTCAATCATTGTCACATGACCAATTAAATACCACATGACCGATCCACTGGTCTTATACTTACAATATATATACTTACAAATTACTTGATATTACTTGTAAACGACAGGGGACCTGTCCAGAGTGTACCATGCATTTCACCCGTAGACTGCCACCTACTGCAACCCTGACAAGGACTAAGCAGGAGAAGATGGATGGATGGACAAATAAAGTATATTAGCAACAAAATAAAGAAATAGCACTTACATGTAAAGTGCACTGCAAGCTTATATTATATAAAATATATTTCAAAGACCAATATATAATAGACCAGCCTGAAACTCACTGTAACTGTATCACTGTGTTAAGCAATATTAATTAAAAAAGAATTGACTGGATTGACACCTTTCATCCGATCCGGCTAATTAGCCAATATTGGAGCTGATATCAGATCTGAGGATGGCACTGATGCATCTCCCATCTAAACTGGTCCATCTTAGGCTTTTTAGTGCTGTTGCTCTGATGGATGGTGAATTTACACCCTAGTTTTAAGTTTGTTTGCAGTCTTCCAGGACTAACAGTGGCTCTAGTTCATTCGACAGAGACCAATTGACAAAGACTCCTGGTTAGGTGTTGTAACGCCTTCAAAAAAATAATAAAAAAATGAATCCAAAGTCCGGCTGCCTTCTAATTTTAGTCAGTTTTGTGGTTGCCATGACCACGATGACAGGCATCACCTAGAACGTCCTTGTATTAACTCCATTATTCTTATATCATCTTCCTGGGCCTGTTAAAGAAACACCTCCGCAAAGCATGATAGTTTCACCACCATGCTTTAAGGGGTTTTATAAAATTGTGTACGGTTACCAAATAAGCATCATGCAGACTCATTCTTTCATGTTAACTCTGCAGCAACCATGGGCATCTTGGAGAATATTACCTTTTCCAGTCCTGTTAGTTTAGGTGGATAGTCATATCTACTTTAAGTATGACTGCAGTTTGGCTAGACGCCGCTGTCTCTTTGATAATGTTTGCTTAGTGGTGTTTTCTAACTAACAAAATAACACACAGGCAGGTTTAAGTGGCGTTTGAAAGCATTTTCACTGCATTTCATTAAGGGGAATGGAGTAAATGAGCCTGAATTCAAACAGGTAAACCCTTTTTTTAATGTTTAATTTCTTTCTAGTTTGCAGATGAGCCCTAACTTCATTTGTAAAGTTTATTTATTGTAAACATGACAAAATTTCAAACAGTTCAAGAAATAAAGTATGAATAGTTAAATGAAGCAAAAAGTATCAAAAATATTCCTTGTCCCTCTCACTGTTGAAAAAATGAAATATCCAGAATAAAGTAATCTTTCAAAGGCAAATATTACAAAGTAAAGGCCGCATGTTGACACCGTGTAATCGTCCCATGTTCCACTGGATTTCACTGACACAAATTGCTTTGGATCTCAGCATGACTTAGCCTTCTGGATGGCACATTTCTAACACCCAGTCTAATCCTGGCCTCCTGTTTCGTGTGTTAATAGTTTAATTGAATTAAAGATCAAACTGTTGAGACATATGAAGGATGTGCTTTCATGTAGCTGTGCGGTGATCAATCACTGCTATAACAAGTCCCGATTGTTCTGCACATTAGAGGGTTCCAGAGTTTCTTCTAGCGCAGACAGCATTGATCCTTTACCTGTTCGGCAGCTTTAATGTGATGCTCAGGCTCGGACGTGGAGGACACGTGACATTTAAACTCACTGATCTTTACAGGCTTTCGCTGTTGAAGTGCAGCAAGAAGTATTAAGGTAAACACCTGCAGATTTGAACATAGATATATCCTCTGACAGGTTGTTTTAGATAAAATTTTATATGTCTCCAAAATAAGAGGTCTACATTTCCATGAATCGGAGAACTAAGGTTTTTAAAGCCAAACTGATCCTTTATTTTTTAGACACCTTACACAGACATTTAAATCTTACGGAACTTGCAGACTTTCCCTTGCAAACAGCGCCAAAGTAAGAGGTTGATTGAACCCTGACAGCTTAAACAGCAGGCAGGCTAAATCGCTCCATGTACGTCTCATCTACAACACTTTTATTTAAGAATACACGTCTAGATCATGTTGAATTATTCAGGCTGTGTTGTACCCTTTTACGCCTGACTTGTACTCTTTATATGTAACAATTAAACTGGCTGTTTGACCTTATGTGTGAGGGAGTATGCCTTATCCCTCGGTGCCTAAGCAGGCCCATCAGTGATGCTAGTGACAGATACAGGCCTGATAAGCAGTAGTATTACTCTCTTAGTAATCCCTCCTAATCCTAACAGGCCGTGGCCTTTGCACAAACCTGTGTGCTGCAGCAACTACGAGTGTTTCTGAGGCAGAAACTCTGACCGATCAACTAAAGAGTTGTATCGTGGAAATCACAGTTATTAACCCAGTGACTGGTTCCAAAACTCTGCAACCAGCCGGTGGACTGGAGCAGTCGATGCATGGATTTGGATTCTGGCGCTACAACCTAGTTTGGAAAATCCATTCATTTGTATTGTTACACAGAAGGAGATCCCAGGGAAAACCCAATGCATATGGATTACCAGTGATTGCTGATACTCTAACATATGGCACTACTCGGTTTAACAATAACCGCTATTGAGGGCTTTCCAATGCCTCAGTAGCGGTCTCTCTCTTGCATTCAAGTTTTCTCCTGTAATTCTGCAGAAACTGAAAGAATCCTTTTATTAAACCCATAAATTACACATGTATTCACACAATGAGACTCCTTCCTGTGATGGCTCTTAATGAGGGGAGGGAATGGATGTGTGAATCTGTGATGCAGAAAACAAAACCATGCTAGGTATACTGCATGGTAGACGGCTATAGATGCTATAGAACAGTGAGTTTGGAGGTTTCCTACTGTTAAGTGGTTCTTGATTCTTTTCCACCGTTTTTGAGTGGTGCAAGATTAACAACTCAGTGGGACTGCCTGGAAATCAGAAACTGTGATTGTTCTGGGCAATACTTAGGATAATATTGGAACAAATGTGCTTGAATCTGAACAGGATTAAAAAATTGCAGTGGACTGAAATTAATTGAAAGGAATGAGATTTTCACAACAGTGAAATATTTACTATTAGTATTGATATCCAGACTGGAAATCTAACTTTGTCCATGATAAAATGTGTGTTTTGAGAGGGTGTTGAGCAATCGGGTGTTTGATTTTGGCCCCTCTGTATTGTCGTAAAAACTGGAGGGGTTGTTATATTAGCCCATGTTCATATCACCATCCCTTTCTCTATTCCTCCAAAAGAATGCCACCTTAACGTGGTGATGGGGTTTCAGTGCCTGGAATGACCCCAGAGGATATTTTGTTGGGGGTTTAAACATCCCTGGTTGGATGTGGATGTTGTTCTCCCACATCAAACAGGCTTTGGTTGATGGGTCAGACTAAGAGCGGTTCAAAATGCCCCCATGATGATGAAGAAATTGAGGCACGTGACTTTGCCCTGGGAACAGGCCTGGGGTTGCTCAGTGACCGCCTTGTGGTTGGGATCTTCCTCAAGGGATCCGGCAAGGCCCAGCCCAAAGTAGTGACACAAGGCCATCCCCCAGTGGGCTCACCACCCGCAGGGGGAACCATGAGGTTCTGGTGCAGATAGGAATGGGCAACAATTCCACTAATCAGAGACTCACCAACAGGCAGTTGGTAAGTTTTGCTGCTAAATTTTTAACTATTGTGTCAGACTGAGAAACAACGGCAAACTGCTAATGCTGCTAACGCTACATCCACCTAAATAGGCATAAACACAAGTCACATTCCAATGCTTACTCCCAGGGGATAGAAAGGGGAAGAACAAAAAACAGATCAGAATGAGCTCTTTCTATTTTGCTTTTCCTAAAACTGATTGTTTGACTATTTAAGAAGCATTGTGTAAGAATTGTCAAAAAGTATCAATAGTCAAACGCTGTATCCGGATACCATTACTAATTTTGCATGGCATGCAAACTATATACAACCTTTTTATTTGTAATGTTAGATTTCTAGAATGAAGATTAATTTTTTATTTTAATAGTTTTAATGTTTTTAATTATTTGGCAACTTTTATTCCCATGCTATAAAAAAATGGTACTGATTAGTAGCCCAGTAAACTAGCATTTGAGTGGTCTAACCTCAATCAACACCCCAGGCCCTAGAAATGACTGGCCAATCATAACGCAGAGATGTGTTTGAATTTCTGGATGCAAAGCAAGCGGGATTTTGAGGGAGGGATGACAAAGCTGCGCAACGCTGGAGAAAGAACAACAAGGAAGATGGCAACAACTATTGAACAGTTCTCGTTTGACTCAGCTTTGGAAGGATTAGACTTGGGGTTTTCGTTGAAAAGTAAGCAGGAAGAGGCTCTACGCTCATTCATTTTTAATAGGACGTATTCGCCGTTTTACCGACAGGCTTTTTATTTACACTCTCCCACCAGCTTCCTGACGTGCTTAAGACGTCACAGCCAGTTGCGCTCATTGATCAGAGCGTTGGCCAATAGGCACAAACATGGTTTGAAAGACAACGGGTTGTTCTCATCAACAGTCTTCCGATGTCTAATTCATCAGGGCCAGGCTAAATTACACATTTAATCTCACGTTTAGTCTGGTTTATCAGGCTAACTGAGTAGCAAACATTTATCGATACAGAGTTATTTAAATTGTACATGTAAAATACATGTACAATGGAATAATGGAATAATTGAAAGATTTAACATTTCTGAAACTAGAACTTTTTAGAATCTACAGAGTGCCAGTAAGCCTCCAATATCTAGAAATTATACATGCATATGAACAGAATCGGTTTGTTTTTCAAAGTGTTTTAAGAGGAGATTTGCTGTATGGTGAGGTGGAGAAATCAACTGAATCTGTAACTGCTCTCGTTATCCCTGCATACATTTAATCATTTATTGATAACAGTTTTTGCTTTGTCATAAATCTGCATATCAGGAGCCTTAAACATTCAGCAAATCAATTTAGACGTCTCTGAGACCAACAGCTTACTTCCAACCCATCAGCCTGTCAGCAGTTGACCCCTGATCATGAAATATTCATAATTTTATGCAGCATGCAGAATTAATATCAAGGCTTTCTCCGTGACAAGTAATGACGGATATTAGTGTGCAAAGTCACACCTGAGCTGCTCATATTCAAAGGTTCAAAGAATTGGAGGATTCTGTAAAAAAAAAAAGGTTTTTACAGCCGTCTGTAAATAATTCAAGAACATTTTCAAGCCAGAGTTGCAATAAACAATAAAGACCAAATGGATTTCAATAGGGATTATTGTTTGAAAAAAAAAAAATAATAAATGTTAAAACTTACTTTAAAACTGATTAAAAAACCACATTTGCTTATTTATATGACCAGTAGCTGAGGTTAGGAGTATGCGTACAGTGGTCCGACACAACAAGCCACTGCAGAGATGCAGGTTTCTGAACAAACACTTCAATAGGACAGCACAGTAAAGCAGAGCGGTGCACAGATTTCAAAACGCAAAAGACAGCTGCAGCCCTTTGTGTAAAACAGTAACAACTAGCTTTTGTCCGACAGACTGCACCTTACAGAGCAGCAGGCAGATAAACTGGTGCACCAACACAAACGCCAAGCCATCCAGATATCCTGTTCAACAAAACAGGTGCATCTTTTAATGGACTCCAGGACTCTAATGCCATATAAGAAGATGGATTTAAAGAAAAACATATATAGATACCCACATGTATACATATGTACTGTTGTCAGTTTCTCCATGTTTTAATCCAGGGAGCTGAGCTCCTGGTATAAATGCCATTGCAGACAGATAAACCTCTTTAGAATGGTTTAACATGCAAAAAAGACTCGTTCAGAGATTAGAAGGAGAATGTGTAATACCCAAAACAGCAATATATCTATAACAATAGTAAGATTGTGAGATTAGCTGTTACTGGGAACATTTAAGCTGTGGAGAAACGTTCATTGATAGAGTTAGATTAAGTACATGTGTTATTAGCAGGGAATAAACAGAAGATCAGGGGAGTGGACATGATTTAAATGGATGCTTCTGGAGAGAAAGATTTAATTCTTGCAATCTACTGAGGTTCAAATCTCATATATTGTTTTATCTTCTTTTTTTTTCTGCAGAGGATGTTTGAGCTCCACCTGCACATTCCTTACCTTTCATGAGGCACTTTACACTTCAGCTGAAAGTACAATCACTCAATCCATGGATGCTCTTCTTCTTTTCTCTTCAGCTGTAAATGCCCATTCCTTTATTCCCACGGATAATTGTGCTTAAAAGAAGTTTAGACAGAAATCATGAGGTAAAGTGTTGCAGGTAGGTTCATTTTTTTGAACGTCCAAAGGGAGAAAAATGGAAGTGGTATTAATCCCGCTCCTCCATGGTGATCGGACGTCCCGAGAAATCCGATATTTTTTTAAACTTAATTGCATCCGACCTTAGCCCATTTAAAGTCATCATAAACTTTCCAAGCAGTGCGTTTAATTCAGCATTGTTTTCAGTCTAAACTTGCTCAAAGTGGTGCGCAAATAAAAAGTGACATCCAGTCGACGTAAAGCATCTAAGAGTGGCAGGACTGATGAGGAGAGCACGCCGCGGGGTTAGTTAGAGCGCTGCTGTTGATTCTGTCCCTCCTCTCATTAGCATCAACCCTCTTTTTACTACAGGGGCTGTAAACACTGCTGTCTAGCCGCACAACAGCACCACAACCACACTTCCTGTTTGACCTTTCAAAATAAAGGTTATCATATTCTTATATTCTTTATCTTTATCTAGCTACGACAGTATACATGTCAGACTAAATAATACTACTTATACTTCAGCAATAGTAGTAAGGTGTTACTTTATTGTATCTCTTATACTATATCTGTTGGTTGTGTTTTTCTTTTTACATTTCTTTGCAGGTGATGAAGCAGACTGGAGATGTTTTATTGTTATCTCCCCTTTTATCTCCTTTCTTTCATCTTTTCTCCCTTTCTTCTGTTTTTCATTTCCTGTTCTTCTTACATCGCAGTTTCCATGTAATCTAATACTCCTTGTATGAATTATAATAAAGCTATTTATATGCAGAAATCAAGCAGAACACCATGGGGATAGCCGTACTGCTCCACTTGTTAAACTAAAATCTGTTGGGCTCTTTTAGGCATCAAGAAAATTTATCTTATTGCCACATTGCCTGACAGGACACTGTTAAAAAAAAAATAAATAAATAAAATAAAAAAATAAAAAATACACAAAGCACGAACAGAAACGTATTTTTTTGTAAATTGAATTAGGGCTTAATTTGTTGCAATATCTTATTTTAAATCATATTTTTCGATAACATAAATGCAAAGGGTACATATTAAAAGTATTTGGCATGGTATAAACCAGTCTGGTTTATATAAATCGTGGCAATGAAATTAGAAATGTAGATATAAACAGTAACAATTAACAATATTTAAATATCAGGTATAGGTTGATTATATCAAAAACTAACAAATAAAATGTATGACAAAAATCCTCAGAAGTAGCCATTGGAGATTTTTAGGATTATGTTTTGAGTAATTGTTTGAATATGGACAATTATACAAACAGAAATCTGGCCAAAGTCAGTCTTCACTAATAATCTCCCTGTACTCTATTCCAGCCACTTGGTTATGGTGCTTCTGGTAAGCTTTCCTTGCCAGCATCTTACACTCTGCAGTTATCTGCTGGATTGTCTCAGGGGCCTCTTTGCACAGTCTGCACCTGGGGTCATGTCTGGTGTGGTAGATCTCGGCCTCTATTGCTCTGGTGCTTAGGGCCTGCTTCTGTGCAGCCATAATGAGTGTTTCTGTGTTGTCCTTCAGTCCTGCTTTGTCTAGCCATTGGTAGGGTTTCCTGATATCTGCCACTTCGAATATGTTCCGGTGGTACATCCCGTGTAGGGGCTTATCCTCCCATGACGGAGTCTCTGGCACCTCATCTTCTGTTCATTGTCTGAGACATTCACTGAGGATGTCGTTGGAGCCTTGTCCTTAATGAACTTATGGATTTTGGATGTTTCTTCCTGGATAGTGGCTCTTAAAGGAATAGTACACCCAAAACATGATTAGCCTTCATTTTCTACTCACACTCTGGAGTATCAAAAAAGTACTCCAGAGTGTTGTTCAGCATGGGGGTGAGTAGAAAATGAAGGCTAATTATGTTTTGGGTGTACTATTCCTTTAAGCTCACTAGTCCTTAG